TGACCTAACCAGAAGGTAAAGAGAGATCCAAGGAAGATTAAGAAGGATGGCCAGAGAGGAGAAAGAAAAAGGAAAGAAGGTGAAAATAGGGTACAAGAAAATAAGTGTAAATGGAAAATGGTTTAAATGGAACGAAAAGAAAGATTGTTTAAATGAAGAGAAAGATGAAAAGAAAGAAAGAAGAGGAAGGCAATAGAAAAAGGAGAAAGAAGAGTGAAGAGGAGAAAAGGGGGCAAGAATGTGTTTTTGGAATATAGCAGGAGTTACAAATAAAGATAAAGAGGTGTGGGAATATTTAAGCGGATTTGAGATGGTAGGGTTGACGGAAACGTGGATAGAGGAAGAGGGATGGAATAAAATAAAGGACAAACTGCCGAAAAATCTGGAATGGAAGTGTAGACCAGCAAAGAGAGAAAACAAAAAAGGGAGAGCAAAAGGAGGCATTATAACAGGAATAAGTAAAAGGATAACGACCTTGGAATACAAAGAATGGAGTGACAACATAGTGGAAAGGAGAATAAGATATGATGAGAGAGAGAGTGGAGAGTGATGACAGTGTACAGTCAGAATGTAAAAGAAATAATGCACACAATTTCAGAAGGAATGGAAGAGAACGAGGAAGGCGTATTGTTAATAGGAGGAGACTGGAACGCCGGAACAGGGGAGGAAGGGGGTTGGATAAACGAAGTGGTAAAAAAGGAGAGAGAAAGAAAATCAAAGGACAAGATAATAAACGGAGAAGGAAGAAGACTAATAAGTGAAATTAAAGAAAGAGGATGGGTGATTTTAAATAGAAGCAAAGGAGAATAAGGAGAATGGACATACATAGGAGAAAATGGAACATCAGTTATTGATTATATAATAGGAAACCAAGAGGCTACAGAGGAGGTAGAGAGTTTGAAAATAGGTGCCGTTGGAAATGACATTATATGGAACAAGGGAAGAAGAAAAAGAAATAGAAGAGGAGAAAGAAATAGAAAGAAGAGAATGGAAAGAAGAAACAAAGGAAGAATACTTGAGGAGCTGTGAGGAGTGGACCAATAAAGAAGAGGAGATTGAAGAATTATGGAAAGAAATAAAAGAGAAAGTAGAGGAAGCAATACCAAAGAAGAAGAAGAGGATACATAAATGGAAGATAGGAGATAGAGTATGGCATGACAAGGAATGGAAAAACAAAAAGAGATAATTAAGAAGAAGAATGAGAAAATGGAGGAAGGGAGAATGCGAAACGGAGGAATATATAAAGATGAGAAAAGAGTACAAAGAATGGTGCAAAGAAAAGAAAAAAGAATATGAGAAACAGGAAGAGGAAAAAATAAGGAAGATCAAGTCAGAACAAGAGGCATGGAAATATATAAACAGATTCAGAAAAAGAAGAAAAGAGATAAACGAAGAAATAGGTGAGGAAGAATGGAAAAGGCATTTTATGGGGATACTGGAGGGAGAAGAACAAATGGCAGTATTAGAGGAAAAGGAAGCGGAAAGGGTAGAAGAAGAGGAAGAGGATGGAATAACGAGAGAGGAATTGATAAAGCAGCTGAAAAGATTGAGAAAAGGAAAAGCGCCAGGAGAGGATGGTTTGGAAAATGAAGTGTGGAGATACATGCCAAGAAGAAATAGGAGAAGCAATGTGGAAAATGATAAAGAAAATATGGAAGGAAGGAGGAATACCGGAGGACTGGAAGAAAGGAGTAATATGCCCCATATTCAAAAAAGGAGAAAAGAAGGAGGTAAAGAATTACAGAGGTGTAACACTGATGGACACAGCATATAAGATTTACGCTAGCATTCTAAATGAGAGATTAATGGGAGAGATCGATGGCAAATTAGAAGAAGGTCAATTCGGGTTCAGAAGAGGAAGAGGGGTTATGGATGCAGTATATGTATTAAATCACGTAGTGGATAGAGAGGTAGGAAAAAAGAAAGGCAAGGTTTTTGCATGTTTCGCTGATTTGAAGGCGGCATTTGATAGAATAGACAGAAAAATACTGAGAGAAAGGATGGAGGAAATTGGTGTATCGAATAAGCTGAAAAAGAGAATAATGGAGACGTATAAGGAAACGAAGAATGTGATTAAGGTGGGAGAGAAATATACAGAAGGGTTTTGGACTAGGAAAGGAGTTAGACAAGGATGCCCAATGAGCCCGACGTTATTCAACATCTACGTAGCAGATCTGGAAGAAGAAATGGAAAGAGGACAGACGGGGGGAGTAATGGTAGGAAGAAGGAAGATATGGACGCTAATGTATGCGGACGACATAATTTTACTGGCGGAAAGAGAAGGCGAGCTGAAGGAAATGCTGAGGAGATTTAAGAAATATTTAGAGAAAAAAAGTCTAACATTAAGCTCGGAGAAGACAAAAGTGATGGTATTCGAAAAGGGGAAAGGAAGAACAAAGAAGAGGAGATGGAAATGGGGAGAAGAAGAATTGGAGGAAGTAAGAGAGTTTAGCTACTTAGGATACATTATGCAAAAAAATGGAGGAGCGGAGAAGCATATCTTAGAAAGAAGAAAGAAAGCAATGATTACAATGAAGAAAACGTGGAGCATAAGAGAGAGATTATTTAGGGAGGACTACATAAGAAGAATGAAGATGTTTGAAGCATTGATGGAGAGTGTGAGTTTGTTTGGAGCAGAAATATGGGGATGGAGAAAAGAGGAAAGACTGGACGGAATTCAAAGAAAATACGTAAAATGGATACTAGGTCTGGAAAGGACAACGCCGAATTACATAGTAGTAGAGGAAGGAAAGTTAGTGAAAATTAAAGAGAAGGCGCTGAAAAGAGCACTAAAGTACGAAGAGAAAATAAGAACAACGGGGAAAAAACTGGTGGAAGAATGCTGGAAAGAGAGGAAGAAAAAGTGGGGGGCAGGAAGAGAAGGAAAATGGGCGAGGATAAGGAGGAAAATATTAGAGGAGGAAGGAGATGGTAATGAGATAAGGAAAAGGAAGCAGAGAAAAGGAGGAAAACATAGTACAAAGAATAATAGGGAAAATAAGAGAGAAAGAAAAAGCGGAAAGAAGAAAAAAGATAGAAGAATCTACATACAACAGAGAATACAAGAAGCTAATAAAAGAAGAGAGAGCAGAATATCTAAGTAAGAGAATGAAGAAGAAAGATAGAAAAACGATAGCAAAGTTCAGGTGCGGCAATGAAGTAAGAGAAAAAGAATATTGGAAAGCAGAAGAGGAAAAAGTATGCAGGCTATGTAAGAAAGAGGTAGAAAGCATGTGGCATGTACTCAAGGAATGTGAAAAAACAGGACAGGTGTTAGTTTATATAGCTCCAGTTCTTTCAGTTACAGTCTTAGTGTAGTCTATATTTTATTTTATTTTGAATGGTATTTAAGTTCAGGCTCAGTTTCAATTGGAATTCGAATTTTAACTTTAGTTTTAATTGAGTTTCTATTAAAGGCAAATTTAAATTTATATATAAGCGCAGAGTGGATGGAGAAATTTTGTAACCGGAAGTTCGTCCTAAGCAGAAAGGCAAGGACTAAGCACAAATAAATAAAAATAATAAAATAATAATTCCATGTTCTACAATTTTTATTTTATGATACTTTTTGATAAATCTAATAATCTTAGTGTTGTTTTTGGTGAAAATTATTTGTTTCATTTTTTGCGATTTTCTTCAAAACGAAGCAAAAACGAGCAAATCTCTAAAGGACTTTTTGTCTTAGTTTATCGGTCCCCTACACGCTCCTAAAGTTTTGACATTTAAATTAGGGACACCCTGTATATATATTAATATGAGAAAAAAAGCATACAGATATTATACATATATAATGCATATTTATACAAACTGTATCATAATATTTATATTAAATACTTCATGATAAATTATCTGTCAACTTTCATATATTACATAAAAATAAAACTTGAAAACTAGATAGCTAACATTTATCAAATGAAGATATTAATACAAATATTGATCTATGACGAAAATGAAGGCGATAAGTAGAGATGGATAAAAATTATTTATTAGTTACATGTGAGAATAAAATACCATATAAATAACATAAAATTACAAGAAAAGCAAAAAATATATCTTTGTAAAGTTAGTACTGCATTTTCAAAATTTCGATATACAGAGTTTCGATCACTCTTCAAAAAGTTGTAAGTTCCTGTTTCAAAAAAGTGCTATCAATTAAATATAAAAAATATAAGAATACGAAAATTGGCTAACTTTTTTTTATTTCAATAGAGATCAAATCTAAATATTTTTCAATAAAATTTATATATATAAATACACTATATAATATGAGGAGGCTCCGTTTGCCTACATTCCCGATTGCCAACACCTTCGTTTGCCTACAACATTTTGCCGACAGCTTCGATTGCCGACATTCCCGATTGCCTACAGAGCGATTGCCTACAAGCATTATTGCGCACACGTAAAAATTAAAAATATGAACGTACGTTTGCACATTATTGCGCACATACACATTGCACACATGACTTCATTGCACTCATAGAGATTACACACATGACATTATTGCGCACATACACTTTGCACACATGGTATTATTGCACACATAAAATAAGAAAATCGTATTAACGTTTTGCACACATGACGTTATTGCGCACATACACATTGCACATATTACTTTATATAAAGTCATGTATGCAAAACGTTAATACGATTTTCTTATTTTATGTGTGCAAAGTGTATGTGCGCAATAATGTCATGTGTGCAATCTCCATGTGTGCAATGTGTATGTGCGCAATAATGTCATGTGTGCAAATGTACGTTCGTATTTTTAATTTTTACATGTGCGCAATAATGCTTGTAGGCAATCGCTCTGTAGGCAATCGGGAATGTCGGCAATCGAAGCTATCGGCAAAATGTTGTAAGCAAACGAAGCTGTTGGCAATCGGGAATGTAGGCAAACGGGACCCCCCCTATAATATACACTAAAAAAATATTATTTTCAAAAAAAATTTATTTAGAAAATTTTAATTTGAAGAACAAAAAATCGCGAAAATCTTCCCAATTTCGATTTTATTTGCTCGAACTTTAAGAATAACCATTAGAATTCTTGGAACTATCTTGGAATTCCGAAGAAATTGCTCGATTACCGGAAAATTTCACTCGGCATGGGAATTTAGAAAATTTCTATCCGAGGATCAAAAACCCCAAATTTTTTTTCAATTTTTATTTTATTGATTTAAGCTATAAAAATAATCATTAGATATTTTGACAGAAATGTAAGATGCAAGAATATTTTACAGTCGATATAACTCGTTTTGAAATATATCAGGAACTCTTTCGAAAAGAGCCAGAACTCTATTAATTATATTGAATTTCTGAAAATAGGGTGCTAACTTCACAGAAATAGAAACTATAGCTGCAAAGCAAAACAATAATAGCGTGTATAATAATATGTGTATTGTATTTAAATATCTGTTATAAATTGTATAAACCACATGATCTAATATCTTTAATTATAAGTATTCTTTATATCAGATATTAAATAACAATATCACACATAATTTGATATGATTAACAAACATGCTTGTAATTTATTATTTTAAATCACAAGCGATTTATTATTATAGATATATAGATCACACGTGGTTTATTATAAATCCATTTATTTGTAAAAGCATATCTTATTCTTATTAATTATGCTTTTAAATAAACGAAATAGGTTGATATAGACATAAGTATCAATATTTCAGTGAATACTTTGAATATATATATATTAATATATCTGTATAAATAAAAAAAAATAAAAAAGTAGAAATATGTATATCAAGCATATATCAATATATTAAAAATTATATTTATAGAAAATAACAATTTTATAAAATAATTTAGCTTTATATTATGTATAAAGTATCAATTGAAATACTGTACTGTAAAAACTGATAATTTGTACTAACCCAATATTGTTGTACATCTAGCTGTTCTAGGGTCAAGCCAAGAGAATCCTATGAGCATCATAAAAATATCACCAGATAAAAAAAGATACTAATACCCGTAAATTATATATGACACTTTAATGATTTATATATTATTAGCACCAACACCAGTGCACTTAATTTTACCATCACCACATTGATGAGTTCACATGTATTTGATAACATAAGATGCATTATGCACATGAAGTCATTAAAATCAATAAGCAACTAAAAGCAATAAATGCAATTTTTTGTGAAAGTTTAATATTCATAATAAAAAATTATACAATTTATAGCAAATTATGCAATATAAAAACATACAAAAATTAAAATTTAAGCAATTCTAATGATTCATGGAAAAATATATTCAATATATTTAAAATTTTCCATAAAGTAGTAAAAATATGTATTTATTGCCTCAAATAAAATATTTTAGTAAATATTTAAAAATGTTTTCTATTATTTAACATTTATGAGTTATTTAAAAATATAATCTCTTATTATTAAATTTTAATGACATTTGAAAATTTACAAATGTTTTTTATCACATAATAACATTGAAGTGCATTTGTATGTATTAACATACCATATTTGTATGTGCTACAAAAGTAAATACCTTCTTTCACCACATGCATTAATACTAATTAATACAAATTAATTACTTTAATTTATTACTAATTAGATTAATAAAATAATTTTATTTAAATAATTAAAAAAGATATATTACAAATAAAATTAAGTCAATGCTCTTATGTAAAAAAGAATGCCTAAATCATATGGGAAAAGGCCTATAACACTATATAAAAATTAACTATAACAGTCGATAAGATGCAGCGAGTAGATCAAACATTCCAATGGGAGCAACTTTGAAAAACGGCGCCGTCACGAGTTACAGACCATTTTCAAAAAACAATTTTTAGACTATAACTTTGCTTCTTTACATCGTAAAGTAATTATTCAAAGCTCAGCAGAATAAAAATAATGAACTTCACCTAATTCTATCATAACACTTTTTTGAGAAGAGAGTCTAAGGGACTAGCCTCTCGTATCGTGGCGCGCATCGTGGCTTAAAAAGCAACACTTTTTTAGAGGTAGCCAGCCAAAGCTAAATCCTTCAACGATTCCTTATAAATATAATAGATAAGATATATATTATATAATATATAATATATGTTATATAATATAATATATATTATATACAGGGTGTATCAGAGCGCCCGTGCCAGACATTTTTAAGGAAAACTACGCATTTTCGAGAAAACTGTTTCAAACAAAAATTGTAGGATTTAAAGGGGGCCAATAAACGATCTTATTAGATTTTGGATCGAGGATTCGTGTTGGATCCAGTAGGGCCCAAGTCACTTTTTTTAAACGAAACCTCCTATTTTTCATTGCATATTCTTGTAGCTTATCTCGAGAGCTTTTCAAAACACTATAATAAAGTATTTTTTCATTAAGTACTTTTTGAGTTATTTTATATCTTAATCTGACATTATTTGATAAAAAATAAAATATCTCGTAAAATATTTAGTTTTCGATAATCTTACCGTAATACTTTTATGTACAGAATAATGAGACAAATCAATTAGTGTAAAGAAAAAAACAAATAATTGTTTTAAAAAATACATTATAAATAATTACATATTTACATACATACTTTTTCTTAAAAACAATTATTTTTTTTTACTAATTGATTTGTCTCATTATTCTGTACATAAAAGTATTACGGTAAGATTATCGAAAACTAAATATTTTACGAGATATTTTATTTTTTATATCAAAATATGTCAGATTAAAATATAAAATAACTCAAAAAGTACTTAATGAAAAAATACTTTATTATAGTGTTTTGGAAACTCTCGAGATAAGCTATAAGAATATGCAATAAAAAATAGGGGGTTCCATTTAAGAAAACACTGATCACATTAACCTCACCTTGAAAAGGTCACTCAAGATCAAGTCCATATTTTGATCATGTAGCCCCCTCGAAACCATGCAACTTTTGTCTAAAACATTTTTGTCTATCGGACTCAGTTTCCGAGATATTCGTGTGGATTGATTAAAATCGTCCACCCTGTATATTGGATGATGGCCTATATATCACATCATTATACGCGAAATTGTCACAACGATTTTAACATACATTTTTCATATCCAAAATCAGAACTTTGGATTAAAAATTTTAAACTAACTAATACAAAGATTCATAAATACGATCATAAGATCGACCATGTTGTATTCTTTTATATACGAATTGAAAAATAAAAGATTATTATGCGCATAAGCAGAGTTATAGCCAAAAAATAATTTTTTTTTAAATGGCCTTTATCTCGTGATGGTGGCAATTTTCAAGGTTGTGCCCGTATGAATGTTTGATCTACTCGCTACGCCCTATCGACTACCTATAGATTATTTTTAGGTAGTTTTGTAGGCCGTTTGGGCATCCTCCTTACATTATTAAAATATATGAAAAAAAATTTTTAATTTTTTCAAAAAACAAGAAGAGCGAATTATGTTATTAATATTAAAATGTTGTTCCCCCTCTTTTATATTTTATTAAATGAATATTTACCTGTAATAATGCCGGTCCCATGACGGGAACTAAAAAACCTTGGTATAAAAATTCAAGCAACTGTTTCTGTACCATTGGATGCGCCACTTGTGCAACTGCATTGCAGAATTCTAAAGAGTTCATGAGCTGCATGAGTGCAGGTAAGTCATTCACATCATCTGGTGTCAATTGATACCAATCGTCTGTCTCAATGTCAAGTTTCCTTGGAAGTAAAGAATAAAGCCCACTCAATCCTGTAGCTAGTACCTAAATAAATACAAAAAAAGATTATTTTATTATTTTTTACATATTTATCTTCTGTATATTTTGTCCTAAAGAAAGTGACCAAATTACTTACAGGACATATATTGGAATGATCAGCGATATATAATCCAACTTCATCATTCTTCTTTGAGAGCGACATGCATAATAACATAGCATCACGTGCTTGCTGACCAACACCACCCTCTCGATGAATATGAGGTATTAATAAGTTAAATATAATAAATCTAAAATAATTTACTCATCTCAGTAAAAATATATTTATGTAAAACATGTCATAATAAATAACAAACTATTACTTATTCTTTCCAATTGCATTTGGTTGAAAAAACAAATCGAGTAAAGCCATATTTTGCATTAAAACAACACACAGCTGATTCAATAATACTACTAATTTTTTTTCTACTTCTAATGGCATAACATCATTTGCACATTCTTCTAATAATCGTAAGAGCGGTCTAGTAACTGGTTCATGTGCAAGAAGGGTATTGCTGTGCGAAATGAGCAACTCGTAAAGCTTTATTTGTTCCAATCTTACAGCATTATTAAATCTGCAAAAAAAATCATAGTTTTACAATAGATATACACAATAAACTTTTATTACAAATATTAAAAAATAAAAATGTACCTTCCTGTATGTATGCTCCAATCGTACAGTTTAACAAGTAAATTTTCACTTAATAAATATTCTAAGCATGGAGAATGCGTTGCAGTGTTGCTCTGTTGATAGTGATTATGTAAATTCGAATCCCGCAGTTCCAGCATCAATAGTGTCACCATCTGGTCAATGTGATTAACAACTCCAAGCACATCATCTTGACTAGGTACCCCTTTAAGAGGCTGAAATTAATTCATTAGTACAATATGGTTCTCCTACTACAAGACAACTTTAGTTCTTAGTTTAGTCTCTATATGACTAATGATAATATATGTTCAGATGTAAGATTTCTTGATTAACATAGTGTAAAAGCAATGTATACATATGTAATAATATAGATTCAAAGTTAGAAATCTGTATTTATAATATACATCTAATGCTATGACTTTTTAATTCTTAGAGATCAAACAGTATATACATATAATTTTCATATCTGATAATTATTAGATATGTTAAATATTAGAAATGTTGAATTTCAGTTTGGATTTATTAATATATTTTTGGGGGAATTTTTACGTTATAAATAATATTTATTTTTGTATTTTCATTATGATTTTATTACAAAATTTAAGATATTATATATATAATCTTAAATTTTGTAATAAAATCATAATATAAATACAAAAATAAACATTACTTATAAAGTAAAAATTTCAATAAAATATATGAATAAATCCAAATTGAAATTTAACATTTCTGTTTCGTACAAATTTTGTGACTTCGAGGGGGAGATAAGGGTATCGATTCTGTAATTCAAGTGAGGGTGAAAATTACAAAAATTAGCGAATTTATTAGAAAATTTATAATTTCATTGGTCCAAACCTTGTAAAATTCGCTCATTTTTGTGATTTTCACTCTCACTTGAATTACAGGATCGATACCCAGATGATATCATTGAGTGCGTTCAAGAGACATATCCGTTTAGTATCGTATTGTCAATAGTCGACATTGATTTGTTGGTTCTAGAAGTAAGAATCAATCACATTCGATTGTTACTCAACGGTTGTGTCTCCTGAATGCACTCATTGGTTTGATCTTGGATGAAGATTATAAAGTTATTTCAAGGTCACCTTCATTTTTTTTTGTGTAATAGCATCATCTTATGTCCTCAAAATCACAAAACTTTTGTTTGAAACATTTTTTTGTAGACGTGGAAAAAAAGATATTTAGGTAGGGACATTAAAATTCTGTATATATATTTAAAAAATTAATTATGATAATAAATTGTGATTATAATCTAATTAAAAATTTAGAAATTTTATAACTTCTTATTATAGAGATTATCAAATCCGTTTAAACAATATCTATCAAATATAAAACAGTATCTATCAAAATTATAAAATTTGATTTCTAAAAAAACAAAAAGTTGAGTATTTAATATTTTACATATAATTTTCAATGTAATTTGAATTATTTTTAATTATATTTTTCAAACAATACGTTCTGGTTTTTATCATATATTTTGATATAATAAATACCAGATTATATCTTTTATCTCTTACAGACACACACGTTATTGTTATCATATTATATATGTACCATGACATATTACAAGTTGATGAAAGATTATTAAAAAAAGCTTCTTAAAAAGAACATTAATTTCTCAATCCTTAAAACTAATTCTCTAAAAAAAAAAAAAATGCATGTCTCTTATGACAAAAATGCTTATCTCCATATGTGTGCCTCTGTGTGTATGAGAAAGAGAGAGAGAAAACCTTCTAAAATAAAAAATTATCGCTTTCTATTTTATATTATTATTTATGGACAATTATAGAATGTTATATGTCTCTATGACCTTTCTTAAGTTTGGATAATTTTTCAACAATCTTGTCATATATCATCAAATTTATTTTAATACCAGAAATCAAAATTTGCATAAAAAATATAACAAATTCCTATTAAAAAAATTAAAGTAATTACATTTTACACTTAACTTTTTTCATGCAATTTAGATTATTTTAAATGGAATGTTGTACTTTTTTTATATTTGCCATCATGAGTTTAAGAAGATGATGACATAAAATGGTTCAAGATAGTTTAAGCTTAAGAAAATATAAAGTTGCTAATCTTTCAATCATATCAAAATTATTTTTATCAAAAACAAAATCTTGTCTAAAAAATTTTAATCTACATTAGTTTTTATATATAGAATTGCTTCCTTGTCAATTGTACACTGGAGAGTTACAGAGTATTCTATATATAATAATTAATATAATAACAATAATATAATAATTAATTATTTGTAAATAAATAAATATATATATTATGTATAAAATAGAATGTTTTAATATTAATAAAACACAAGTAAAAAAATTGTGTGCTTTACAAGGCTGATCGCTCTGATTGCATAAAACAATACTTTAAACACTATTTGTTTGTTTCTAATAATAATAAAATACAGCATATATGATGTAATAAGATAGATATATTATACAGGGTGTTGCAAAAAAAGAATCACATTTTGAGAACAGATAATATTGATCAAAAAATAAAAAAAAGAAAGTCTAATTAACATGGGTCCTACAATTAATATCTTCAAAGATACAGGCTATCTTTTTATTTGAACTCTTTGCCCTTTTCTTATTGGTTGTGTCACCTCTACAATGCAGTAAACAAAAGAGTACTTACTAGTTTTGCAGTCAGTATTATAGAAGGTGCTCTATATGGTTCCCATTCATTGTCATGTATTTTTCAGCGCTACGTCTCAGACAATCATGCATTCTTTCAAATATACCTGGCTGTTTTTGGATTTGCTACCTACCTACAAACCCAACGTTATTATAACCCAATGTTACTATAGCAAAACTAGTAAATACTCTTTTGTTTACTGCATTGTAGAGGTGATACAAACAATAAGAACAGAACAAAGAACTCAAATAGAAAGATAGCCTGTATCTTCGAAGATATTAATTGTAGGATCCATATTATTTAAACTTTTTTTTCTTGTTTTGATCAATACTACCTGTTCCCAAAATATATGACCCTTTTTTTTAACACCCTGTATAGAATTATATTGTATTTTTCTTTTATTATTATAGATTTTATAACTATCAAATTATTGAATTTAAAAATACACATTATAAATAAAGATAAAGAAAAAAAGAGAAAAAAAAGAAGTAATGTTTTAAAAAATATGTTCAGTTTTGACACCCATATAAAATACACGTGTGTAAATATGGAAATATATATAAGGTTCTGGAAGAGAAGCTTATCTCCTTACTAAAGAGTGCAGAATAATTTCATAAGTCTGTTGCCAATGTTTGCAGAAGCTGTCATAACACGCGGACGGATCGGCATCCTTCGGCGGAGAGTTTCTGGATCGCTGCTTGCTGAAGCTCGTTCGCAGTGGACTATTACGTAGCCAACTCATTTTTTCGCAAAGTATATACAAAATGTTCTTCACAATGATATGGTCAGTTTTGAAATCATCACGGCCCGATGATCTTCGCGTTGTCTCAAGTAAAAAAAAAAAATATATATATATACACGAAAATATAATGGAGTTCTCTTTCACAGAATCGTTATCAGGATTGTCCTATTAATGTATCAATCATACGTATGTAAGGCCACATGAATATGGTACGATACGAGTTGCATGGTATTTACGATCCATGATTCACGTTGATTCACACATTCAGTAAAAATACTATGCGCGTGAAAATATATCATTGTCACCGGTGATATCTTTAGTTCATCTTTTTAACGAAAGTGTCGCAGTTTCATGAATCTCATTTGAGAGTTTTATGTTTCAGAATCACTTTCAGTTTTTTTATGTTTATTTTAGGTTTGTTCGCGTTGCTTGAAATTCTCAAAAAGTTCTGCACTGAAAACGAGATAAATATATATTCGGATGTTGAAGAAAGTGAAAGCGAAGATACTGAGTGCAAAAAGTTCAAGCAACGCGAACAAACCTACTGTGTTCCGTAGCTGGAAAGCACCCTAAAGCCCGTATCAGACTACGCATTGAAAATTAAAGATTGAAGATTAAAGATTGGAATTTGATTAATCAAAACAAAAAGGACTAAAATTTCTTTGTCCTGATTGATCAAATTTCAATCTTGAATCTTGAATCACAATCTTCAATGCGTAGTCTGATACGGATTCAAGATTCAAGATTGAAATTTGACAAATCAGAATAAAGAAATTTTAGTCCTTTTTGTTCTGATTAGTTAAATTCCAATCTTTAATATCGACCTAAGGCCAATATTAAGGGCCGTCTACAATGGCAGTAATAAGGCTGTAGGAGTAGGAGAGTATACTTTTAAGAGCAAATGGGAATTGCCCATTTCGTTACTCCCCGTCTAAACACCACTAAAAACAGTATACTCTCCTACTCCTACAGCCTTGTTACTGCCATTGTAGACGGCCCTTTACATTTGTCGTACGACCAATTTTTTAAGCATATTGATTGGCCGCAAAATAGAAACTTTCTTGGGTCTCTAGAAATTAGCTAATCAATGCGCTTAAAAAGTTTGTCGTACGACAAATGTAATATCGGCCTAAAGGTAACATTTCATGGGCAGTGAAAAGCAGCAGCAGTTTAGTAACTAACTAGCATTGTTTGGTGATTTTAAAGAATTGCTGCGCTGCCCATGAAATAGGTTTTCTGCAGTGTTTTAAATCGTTAATCTCAATTTCAATATTAATTGAGATATAACCGAATGAGTAATTATTTTTATAATTATAGTTCCTACAAACTTACCTCTGGTGATTCCATACTTTAGAATATATGTACATACAGAGAGAAGAATGAGAGTCGCCACCATAGACATAGTATATCTAGATCGAGCGTTTGCCTTTATTTAAGGAGTGGGTTTCGATGCCCACGTAGAAAAGGACGTAAACTTTGAGAATATATAAAGACATCCAAGAGAGATAAAAAAAAAGATCGTGATAAATTTACGCAATTACGAATTTTTTCTCGTCTCTCTTGGATGTCTTTATATATTCTCAAAGTTTATCTATTAAATTTGAAGTATTTTGCATATTAAAAAATTATTATCAAATTTTTGCTTTTATATAGAAATGGAAACTATTAAACAATTTTCTATTATCTAATTAACATCGCTATTTTATAAATAATTTACAAGTTTTAGAAATTGATAATGATTAAATAATTTAATTCATAAAAATTAAAATGTTGTCGGGGAGATATTTACATTTTTTCTCAAATCACCCTATATGTCAAAAAAGAGGCACCGCCATAGACTTAGTTGACAGAATCATTTTATTATCACACCCGACATTTCACTGGAAAAACTTAAATCTTGCAGTTGAGATTTTACTGGACAATGGTTATCCACTAGATTTCGTCTTTAATGTCTTACACGAACGCCTTAAGACACTTTTTCACAAGTCAAATTCCAATTCCGACAACACTGAGCAGATGGATGAACCTGAAAGAGTTTCTTTTTTCACCATACCGTACATTCCTGCAATATCGGAACAATTTAAGAACATTACTAGAGACTTAAATGTCAAACTAGCTTATCGCAGTCTCAATAAATTGAACAAATTTATTAAAGTTTACAAAGACTCTCGTCCACTATCTGCTCACAATAATGTTGTCTACAAAATTAATTGCGATAATTGTGATGCGTCGTATGTGGGACAGACCAAAAGACAATTACATACCAGAATCTCTGAACATAAAAATCATATTCGGAGGAACACAAATAATCACTCCGTTATAACTGATCACAGACTAGCATACAATCACGATTTTAACTAGGAGAATGTAGAAATTTTAGATAGAGAACCACACTTACATAAACGGTTAATTTCAGAAAGACATTTTTGCACATAAAAAGACAAAAGAATAGTATTAATTTACAGACTGATACAGAGTGTCTCCCGGAAACATATCTGACTGTAATAGAAAAACTCTCCAAAATTTGATTTAACGCTAAGTTATTTTTATTGTATTTTTTATGGTTTATATGTTTTAATTTTTATTACTTTTACTTTTTTACCATTTGACACCTACATTTTATGCAGTGACAATTCTGATGACCTAACTTGTTTTTAACTAATTTATTCTTACGTTTTTTATATTCGCCTTAAATTACTCATTTTTATTTTTGTTATTACCTCATTTTTATTATGTACCTTAGTATGTTTTTTAAGTATATTATTATTATTTTTCGACCGTTTTGTTATCCGTTCCAAAAAATTGTTTGCGACTCTTGTTTACCCGGTGACAACAGTTATTTGTGCCTCCGCATTGCGGCGGTTTCATTTATTTGTTAGTGACTGTTTGAGAATCTTTGTGCCGAGTGTAATTATTATCCGATTCAATCACCGTTAATAAGCTCTGAGTTTATGTGTAAGTAATCTTTAAACATGTTTTTGCGCGTTCTCTCACATCATTCCATATAAGAGCCGCTCTGGTCATTTACAGACATTATATAAATGCATCATTATATCATGCCTGTTCAATGTTGGGATTTCTCAACTTTCGACACTATAATCGAGGAGTTGACCATCCTAACAACAACTGTAATATGCGTCGAAAATGCATTGCATTGTGAGAGATCTCCGGTTTACGAACTTCGACTTTGCGGCCATAATGTTTAAGATCTCGCGATACGTCTTTGGATCAATTATATTTATTTATATTTTTTAATTCTTGCGCTGATGAAGGCTAAAAGATTAGCCAAAAGGTCCGTTTTACGCGTTATGTTAAATTGTGTTCCACGCTTTATGTCACATTGACTATATAATAAACTTTTTGGTAAATATAGCGAATAGAGTGTGAAAATCGTTTGTTATTATATCTATTTAAGATATAAAATAGAAATTAACTTCCATATAAATAAAATATTTTAATTTTGATTTAATTTCATAAATTAAATTATTCAAATTTTCCTATATATATTACATTAATATATATTATTAATATTATAAATTTATGTTATTAATACAAACGTCAGAAAATAACATCTCGTGAAGGTGACATATCAACTATTGACGACCTGAGCTTAATGTGGTCACAGATGGCTATGGTTTTGGCATGGAATTCTGATTAAATTTGCTGCCAATTTGCGCGCATGCTGCTAGCATTTTGCTATCTGGGTACTTTGTAAGTTGTAAAGCGAGGTCCATACTGCCTATCGGCGGGGTGGGTGCGGGAGGGGGGCCGAAGGCCCCCCTTGCACCCCCCGTGTGTGTATGTGTATGTGTGTGTGTGTATGTGTGTGCGCGCGCGCGCGCGTACTTCCTGTCCGTGTATGTACTTTGGTATATTTCAAACTTTTTTTGTTAATAACTTTTTAATAAGCAACGAGCGACGATTAAATTAGAAGAAAAAGTTACTCAGAATTATGTCCTTGACAACATATGTCAAGGTCAAGGTCATTGGGGCTAGGTCTCCTATTCGCTATATTTACCCTTATATTTTATTTTCGAACACCCTATATATGTAAAAACTTGTGTTTATTTCAGTTTATATGTCCGAAAATGGTCGATTAAAACCGATTAAAACATAATCTGTTTTAATCGGTTTTAATCGGTTCAATCGGCGCCCGGATTAAAAAGTAATCGATTTTAATTCCGAACGAATTATAATCGGTTTTAATATTGCTTTCGCGGATTATTTCCAATCTAAAATCATTACATTCTAATCCATATTGTTGTCAATCCAAATAAACACGAATAATCGAATGGATATTGTGGCTGCCGTAGGTCGTCACATTAAGCACAATCCGCGATAAAATAGTGCGACACGCAACTTGGCGGCCCACACCCTCGCGCGTCCGCGCGTAGTCCCGGGCGGCGCCGCTACGCGGCGAAGGTCGAGCGAGCCAACCTGGAAGTAGAAAGCGGTCAAGCGGGGATATAAGCGCCATGAGCTGTACCTAGTATGTACCTTTCTTGTCAACTTATAAAATATTATTTTAACTCTTTTTTTCAAAAAAATAGCTCTGTACAGGACTGCGGATGATCCTACTGATTACAAATATCACAGGTTTAACATGATTCTCTTTATTTTTTGGCCGTAATACGGGATAAGCGAA